CAGGATGATTCAGCGACAGCTGCGTGGCCGAGGGCCGTCTTGCTCCCGAAATTTGTTAGTCAAAAGCAAGAGGTGGACGCATCGACGCGCGATCGATCCTCTCGTGTCGCGGTTTCTCTCTCTCTTTCATTCTCCACACCTCTTCCGTCCGCAAATTGCTGGCCGGGATTTATAGCTCGCCACACTTTGCTTTTCTTTTCTTTTTTCTTTTTTCATGTCGATCGCGACCGAATTGGTGTAATAATTTATGAATCTTGTCTCGGTTGATCGTGTTTTCCTTTTACTCTCGTTGCACTTTTCGATCTGTCGTGGGTGGTTCCGTGTCTAGTCGGAGGGGAAACGTTCCAGACAAAAAAAGAGAGAGAAGAAAAAGAAAAGAGAGTATAGGGTACTCGAACGAGTATCCATCGATACATTGATGAATAGAAGTAGAGGATATTTTTCCTTGCATCGATCACCTACGCGACGTATCTATCTAAAAAAATCTGGCCCTCGAAACTTGAAACGCTACAATCGCAATCCGTATGGAACTCGGCTGAGGAGAGTCGGTTAGTTAAAATGATTTTCGCGAAAGCGACGAGCATCGAGGTCCCGGGACGCGAATGGCCGGAGATGGAGGGAAATATAATTTCAATCGCAGAGAGGAAATCCATAGGCGGGCGGAGAGCGAAACGGAGGGGGATGTTGGCGACCAGTCGCCGTGGCCGTCCACCCTCACTCCCTCTCTCGCTTCGTGGGGGATGAAGCATGAGTCACCGGGTGCCACCACCCCTGTTTTTCGGCTGTCTCGTGCCGGCAATCCACCCCAAACCTCTCCCTCGCGGATCAAACGGAACGAGGAGAGGACGGGCATTATCATAATCCTCGTCGACAGGGCGTAGGAAAGGAAAAAAGAGAAGTATAGTCGGAGTCAAATAGACGCGTTCAGGTGTCGTTGGTGCGTCATTGTTGTCTCTTCCACTGTTATGGATGATAATATTCGAGTCATGGCGAGTGATGATCGTTATGGGCGAGCGGATTGCTTTGAAAGTTAACTAATTCTTGTTTGCGGAGATGAACGGTCAAGGGAGAGATAATTTGGCTAATCCACGTCCCGGATGTAAGAGGACGAAAACTTTTGTCTCCTTCTCTCGACGATGATCAGGATGGAAGGTTTAGGTTTTGGGGAAAGGTTGTCTCGTGAAAGAGGCCCGGATTTATCGACTTTCGGTCAACGTCGATGTCGGATCAGATAGAAAGGCTGAAGATAGAACGTTAAACGTAGAACGTTAAATTCTCGTTACGTTGTAAGAGAGGAGGAGTGGTACGGTAGAATTCCATTTATACCGAGTCCATTTATCCGAGCTAAAGTTATAGTTACTGCCCCATTAACTCGAACTCCCCTCGAATCCATTTAGCTGGTTGAATCTGTATTATTCGAACGAGAGGTAGAACGAAACGTGTTTCGCGATTCGTTTTCCCGACTCGTCAGGATTCGAATAAACGGAGTAAAAAGTTTGGGATCCGAATAATTTTCCATCCATCAGAGGAAGAAAATTTCGAAATAGACGGTATTTCGAAACAGCGTTCACTTTTCACCGCATAGTCCACTTGAGCATAGTCAGTCGAAACGATTCGACAGAGAAGAATCTCGCATCGCTACACCGCTGTAAAAAAGTTTCCACTCGTCGTCTCTCTATCGCCATATTGAACTAATATCTCTCGGGGCATTCGCTGCAAAAACTATCCTACATCCCTACATTCTTTTTTCTCTTTCCTCCAGCTGGAATTCGAATCGTCGGATTAGAAACGGGGGAGGGGATAAATAGAAAGAAAAAAAAGAGATACGGTTTCCGTTCACACGTGCAGGGGAGGTCATCGATCACGCGGTGTGTCGTCATCGTCGACGCGTTAAGTTAATCCCATTATTTTCGTTCGTCTTGCCCCCGATATTACGAGAAAGGGGAGGCGACACGCGTGAAAACGGGCATCTGGAAAAGTTGGCATCTGCCGTGCAACACCGTGGAACGAGTTTCGACGTCGAAACTAGATTACCAACCGTCCCTTCCAAGATGGAGGAATAGCGTGAATTTATGCGCTTCTTTGGGGCGTGTACAGCTTTCGGAC